ATCTATCTATCTATCTATCTATCTATCTATCTATCTATCTATCTATCTATCTATCTATCTATCTATCTTTCCTTCCTTCCTTCCTCCTCCTCCTCCTCCTCCTCCTCCTCCTCATCATCATCATCATATATAAAAGCAAAATACCACTCACGCATCATCACAAAATCTCCAGAACCGTAAAGCCTACAAGCTTGACATTTTCCACCTATGTTCCTCTTGGCTTCTAGGTGCTCACTAAGAAAGGATTTTTCAAAATGACCATCAGAGCATTAGTATTTCCTATATTATTATTAGCATGCTCTGATGCTAAGGAGTTCTACTCCTCCTCCCCACCTGAAAATAAATCTGTTCCAAATACAAAACACAAGCAGAGAGGAGAGGAGTTTCCGTTTTCGTTTTAGTTTCACAGCAGCAAGCAGCTTTAATACAGAACAGTTGAGCTAAGCCACACCCAGGCTCCTTGCTGTCTCCTTGCTCACTTAGCAAATACTGTTTCAGTTTCCAAACAGCCCTCAACTCTATCACACACTGACAGGAAGCTAGCCAGATGAATACCGATGGATGTTGGTAGGCAGAGGCAGATCCCCCCCCCCCATTTTCCTCCCAAAAAATTAAGCCCGATCACATAGTTCGTAGTGAAGCACGGGTATCCAGCTACTAATAATATAATATTGAAAGTAGTGGACCAATGAGGCAGCTTCCATTGATTCCCCCATACATTTGTTCTTCAAAATTAAGAGGTCATTATAAACCAACTATGTAAAATAGCAGCTGCCAGTTATTTAGCTGGTATTGACCTTCATTTGCCTCAAGTTCTTTCTAAGAACCTGGAATATCAAAATATATTAGGGTGTTTATATGTTTAGATCCAAGCAGTGTAGTCTTGGTAATTGACAGGTGGAAATGTTGTCAATGCACAAATTATTAGTATTATTATTTGGATTTTGCCTGCCCAAAATCTTGGTTTAGTCTTTACCATTTCTGGAAACATTTAGGGAAGAACCCCACCTGTCTGAAACCAGATACCAGTCAGTTTTGACAAGATTGGGCTCTGCAGACAAATGTTCAGAGAGGAAGACAGGTGGGAAACAACTTGTTACCAATTCCTAATAGACTTTATTTATCTGAACTGCTGCCACATGTGTCACACATGAACTGAGAGGTTATTAGGCCTGTGTAGCAGTTGCAAACTAAAAAGCGGTACAATATCCCTTCGGGTGAAGCACCTCCACACTAACTAACCCAAGACTCTTGTGGCCATATTATGGTTTATGCCCCTTGTGCCCTATGAATAGCATATGCCGTAATTGGAGAATTAAAGAAATGTAGGTTTTCCTGACTTATTTTTCCTCAGAAAGTCAAATCGTCAATGGGCAGAGACTTTCTGTATTTCCAGGGTGTCACAGTCTGAAACCTTCAAAAGCCCTCAAAATACGTTAGCTCCAAACCAAGATTCTCTCAGGGTGCTTTTTTTGCTGAATTGTTGTAGCACAGAAAATAAACGATGATTTTGTTTCAGCAGGTTGTTGGTCTTATGATGTGTTTTTTTTGAGGGGGGCGATGTATAGAATTCGAAGAGGAGCAAGGAGTAGCACGGAGTGAAAACTCAAATGTCTTGAAAGTAAAAAAGCCTTCTTGCCTTCTTCGCTTTGGAATGTTTTCTCCTGAAATATGTCTTCTTTTACTTTCCAAGGCTCCCCCCCCCCCCCAAAAAAAAAGTGGCTTTCCCTGGCGAAGTGGTGGTACTGGTGTCCGGGCAGCCATTGCTGCCTTGCTGGTGTCAAAGCACGCTGCCCCTTTAAGAGGAGCCGAGGGGATGGTCCCCAGGACTTCTGTTGTGGAATGCCAGCTGCAGCAGATGCCGCAGCAGCACCACGCCAGCACTGCAAGATGGTGTCTCCGCTAGGGTTAACGACACTTAGCTTGTTGTCTGGAACCAGTTCAGACCGGTTTTCTGGAAAGTGCTTTGTGTCTCCGACTGAATCCTGGGAAAGGGTCATGTGTAGATCCAGTGATGTCATGGGATCACAAACTGACTCAGCTCTCCTCCCCCCACCCCTATCAGATATGTGTGTTTCTTGCAGGTAGGGTTGTGGAGAGGCTTGGTCAGAAGCAGGCCTCTCTCCCAGTGCATAATGCCAAACAAAACTTTTTAAAGCCCTTTTCCCTTCAACACCTCCCCGATTCCCACCTGATTCCTAAGGGATCCCGGAGCACTTTCAGAGACTTAAAATTGTTGGGATGGGGAGAGTAAGCCAGCTCCTGGTTTTTAAGGACGTTGCCGGATCAGGTGCCTTATTTTCAGCATCAGCTTAAAGTTTCTCATTTTTAGCCAGGAAGAGTTGATGGGGGCAGGGGGGAAAGGAGCCACCCCCTCCGGCTCTCTTAAAATAGGAGGGACTTTTTCACTCTGGAACACTTCACCAGAAATAAAACTTTAAAGAAAATTGGGTCTCTAAAATGATAGGAAAAACAAGCTGCGTTGTCAGAAGGAAGTGCTCCAGATTTCCTATGGGAAGTTAGGCATACTTGCACCTGTTCCCCCCTCCCAAACAGTTTTGGCTTTTGATTATTTGATTTCCACTTAAGGATGTGATGGGGGAAGGGGAGTGTGAGTATAAGGGATCGGAGGTGAACAACTTGATTTGCCATATATGTGGTAATAATATATGGCACCTGGTTGGTGTACTGTTGGTGTCCTGTTAATATACTCTCATTCTCAGAGCATGAAATTGAGCTTTGTGTCTGTATAAAGAAGTTCAACCCGGGACCATGCTATTTTCAAAAAAAAGATGTTTTACTTGTATTTTGTATGTGTTAAAACCCAAATAAAACTTTATTAAAAAATATATATATATTCTCATTCTCTCTCTCTCTCTCTCTCTCCCTCCCTCCCCTCTCCACTCCCCCCCCCCCCACCTCTTTGTGCTACTTTTCCAGAGCACCATAATGACGGAGGAAGCTTGCAGGACACGAAGTCAGAAGCGAGCACTTGAACGGGAAATCACCCAAAACGACGTGGACTGTAAAAAAATGAAAATGGACAAGGGGCTTTTGGGGGGCCCTGAGGCCAACTCCGAAGGGGGGGACCTTAAGCTAAAGACTGACTCTGGATCTAGTAAAGTCCAAGGATTATTGAAAGGAGGGGAGATGAAAGCAACCATCAGAGTGGAAGTTCAGACGGGAGATGAGCCGGTGGATATGAGCACCTCAAAAAGGTAAGCAATCATAAATGAGTTTTAGGAAGCAAGTGGCTGTGCCTCTCATTCACTTGTCCAGGCATTTTGCGGTGGGAGGAGGGGAGAGACAGAAAATATGCTGACATATAATAGAAACCAAAAGACAGGAAACTGAAGGAAGCATCTGGTTCATCATGGAATCGGTGGAACTCCTTGTCACATCATATATTTTTTTTAGCTAGATTGCTTTAATAATTGCCCCACTATTGAGTTTTAACAACCTCGGTTCTTTAGGGTTGTTTTTCCCAGCAGCATTTCTTCTATAACTGCTGCTGACTCAACTGCTTTTGCTTATGCAGTTAACCAAGCACACGGGCTCCTGTCTCATACGTATGCATTGGGAAACTTTGGGGAGAAATGAATGAGGACTGGGATGTATCTGGAGAAACGAAAGACTGAAGTGGCGTGCCAGTCCAAGTTGGAAAGGGAACCGAAGGAGCGTTCTGGAGGAGGGGGAGGGTTGGTTGAAACAGAGGACAGGGGGACTTCTCATGGCTAAGACACGGTTTGCCTTTGGCATTTTGGAAGTTGAGGGACAAGCAGGATTCAATATTTTTCTTGTACTGCAAGAGTGGGAAACTATGGATGCTTTATGACTAGTGGACTACAACTCCCAGAATTCCTGAGCCAGCCAGGAGTTGAAGTCCACAAGTCATAAAGCACCAATAGTTCCCCACCTCTGTTGTACCCAGAAAGTTTCCTAGGAGTTTTTGACTAGTTGTGCTTAAACAAAGTGCTGGCCTTGATCTCCCAAATATCTCATTATAAATTAACCCGCAAGGCCCTATCCAATGAGATTGTTTCTACCTGAGATTCTCTGATAAAATAGAAAACAAAAATAGCATAATGCAAGCAATGGGGAAATATTATTTGTATTAATTACCCTGAATAGTTGCTGTTGCAAATCTCTGCCTTGCCTCTCCCCTCCCCCCCCCCCCAAATCAATTTTTGCATTAACTGGATTCCATTGCATGGTAAGCCTGCTCCTTTTGGGAGTGACAGGTAGTCCTCAACTTACAATCGCAGTTGGGACCAGCATTCTGTTACTAAGCAAGAGGGTTGTTAACCAAATCGCACCCAATTTTAAAACCTTTTTTTTGGCCATGATTATTAAGTGAATCACACGGTCATTAAGCAAATCTGGCTTCCCCTCCATTGACTTTGCTTGCCAGAAGCAAGCTGGGAACGGCTCAAATTGCAATCATGGTACCCCAGCCATAAATATATGCCAGTTACCAAGCGCCCCAATTTTGACCACGTGATCGTGGGGTTGCTGCTACAGTCATAAGTGCAAGGACCAGACATAAATAACATTTTTCTGTGTTTTCCCCCCCCACACACAAATTCAGACGCTTGGCAACTGGTTCATCGTTGTTATGATGGTTGCAGTGTCTTGGAGTCACCTTTTGCCAACTTCTGATAAGCAAAGTCAATGGGGAAACCCGATTCATTTAACGACCTTGTTACTAATTTGCAATGATTCACTTAATTGTGGCAAGAAAAGTCGTAAAATGGGACAAAGCTCATTTAACAACTGACTAGCTTAGCAGAAATGTTTAGCTCAATGATGGTCCTACGTCGAGGACTACCTGTATATTGACCAGAGCTGAGAGGGATACATAATACTGTTTATTTCATCAATCAATCCTGTCTTTATTATTTTTATAAATACCTCAGGGTGGCAGCTAATCTTTCTTCCTCATGTTTTCCTCACAACAACCAACCTGTGAGGTGAATTGGGCTGAGAGAGAATCACAGCCTTTCATGGCTAAGTCAGGACCAGAATTCACAGTTTCCGACTTTCCGGACTGTTGCTTTAACCACTAGGCCAAAGTGGCTCTCTATATAGCATCACTGTGGATTGGAGATTTACAATTTGGTGTAAAATAACAAACAGGTTTGTAAGATGGAATTACCTAGAGAGCCAAGTAACACTAGATTTCAACTCACCTGAGTGATTTGGACCCTAAACTTCTTTGGCAGAAATCTTGAAGACAAACTGACTGTGATGGTTTAGAAGGGAATGGTGTCTTGAACTCTTTGGAAAAACAGTGGAATTTAAATGAAGATTAATAAATGAATTAATTAATAGACATTGACAAACACACTGAGAAATTCCACTCAACTCACTGAGAAGAAAATAAGACAATACAGGTAGTCCTCGACTTACGATCACAATTGAGTCCAAAATTTCAGTGGCTAAATGAGACATTTGGTAAGTGAGTTTTGTCACTGCAGTTGTTACGTTATTAAATGGTTGTTGAGTGAAAGTAGGTTGAATTTGCTTGGTAAAAAGTTGCAAATGGTATTCACATGGCCCTGGGACATTGCAACCGTCATAAATGTGAGTCATTTGCCACGCATATGAATTTTGATCCACATGACCAAGGGGATGTTGCAATGGTCATAAATATGAAAAACACTCAGAAGTTACTCTTTTCAATGCCGTTGTAATTTTGACCGATCATTAAATGGACTGTTGTAAGTTGAGGACAAACCTGTATTTTGGGGAAGGGTGAGAAAGTTTCAATTGAAATGTGTACGTATTTTTCGGACTATAAGACTCTCTGAAGTATAAAACTTGCCTAGCTTTTGAGGAGGAAGACAAGAAGAAAAAAGATCTGCCTCCCAGCAATTTGTCACCTTTAAAGCCCTTCATGGCTTAAAGGCTAGGTTACCTGAGGGAACGTCTCTTGCCAGTCACATCTACCCAACCCATTGGAGCAAGGAGGCAGGGAATGCTGCGGGTCCCATCCCTGAGGGAGATACACCTGATGGGACCCAGAAGAAGGGCCTTCTCCATGGTGGCTCCCTTTTCTGGAACATCATCCCCCCAGAGATTAGAATGGCCCCCTCTCTTGATACTCTTCCAGAAGGCACTGAAGACCTGGTTCTGCCAGTGGGCCTGGGGAACCTAGAGCAGAATGGAGCTTGTGTGATCTGCTGTCGTTGGGGCAGGGGGTGGGAATTGGGGGTGATTTTTTTTATTTATTTTTTCCAGATATTGTTCTATTGTACTTTATTAATTGATTCTTTTTGTAAGTTGATTCTTTTCGTTAGTTTTTATTGTTTTTATTTTAAATATGGTTTTACATTCTGTAAGCTGCCTTGAGTCACCATGGGCAAATAGGCAGCAATATTAAATAAATAGATGATAGATAGATAGATAGATAGATAGATAGATAGATAGATAGATAGATAGATAGATAGATAGATTTGCCTCCTTGCAGCAAACTGCAAACAGCCTGGTCAGCTTCAGTACAGTTTGATTCTAGGAAGCCGCTGATTATCAATTGGATCAGCCTCCCGACGATCAGCTGTTTCAGGCTGCAGGGATCATCGCCTATTGGCACCTCCGCGCACCCCATTTTCGGCCCGTTTAGGTGGCAGGGATTGGAACAGGCTGAAAATGGAGCATGTGGAAGCTGAAAACGGGGGGCGCAGAGACCGATAACGGGATGGCAATAGGCTATGGCGATCCCTGCAGCCTGAAATAGCTGATAATGGGGAGGCAGATCGAACCGACAATTAGCTGCTTGTGCTAAATCAGGCTGTGCTGAACTTGACCAGGCTGTTTGCTGCAAGGAGGCAAATTGCTGGGAGGCAGAGGTCAAAGGGTGGAGGCCGTCGGGTGGGTGGGGCTTTGGCAGCATTCGCTGTATAAGACAGATAGACATTTCCTCCCACTTTTGGGTGGATGGGAAAGTACTACTTATGCACCTAAAAATATGGGTGTGTGTGTGTGTGTAGAGAGACAGACAGACAGACATCTATTTCTAAAGTAATATTGAGTATGGGGGAGACCCGTATTGTTTGGACAGTTGCTGGTGGGCGATTTTTCATCAAGCAAAGTAAAGGAAAGCCAAGGCTATTTTATGTTTTGGTAGGTGTTAAAAAAAAAAAAAGTAATTCATACTAACTCTGAAAGACTGAGTTTGATGTAAGCCACTGTCCTCCATGGTTTCTCTTAGGCTTCACCATGTCACAAAAGCCCACGGTGGCCCTCGTATGTAAGGCATTCGATAGTGTGCCCACTGGGCCTTAAATTATTCCTGTCCCCTCCCCCTTCACGCCAGCACCTGCTGACACGTCAGTTTCTAGCAAAGGTGTTGCATGTTGAAACCACCAGCTTTTCAATCACACTTTTGATGGACTTACCTTGTGGCTGTGTTTCTCTGCAATCTAATGAGCAAGGAGCCATTCTGGCTGGGAACGGAGCGAACTGCCGTCCCAGCATATTTAAAGTGAGGAAGCCGATGCTGGGCATTCAGTTGGAAATTTCCGAGAAACAAAACATGCATTTCCCTTGAGCAGTGCTGAGTCCTGTAGGCCTCTGCCTAGCGATCTATTCACACATAATGTTGCCCAAAGAATGGGAGCTTTTGAGGGGCCGTACGGCCCAAATTACAAAAAGCTCAATGTTCAAGAATATAAAGCCATGGTGGCGCAGTGGTTAGAGTGCAGCACTGCAGGCTACGTCTGCTGACTGCTGACTGCCTGTAATTCGACAGTTCGAATCTCACCAGGCTCAAGGTTGACCCAGCCTTCCATCTTTCCGAGGTGGGTAAAAGGAGAACCCAGATTGTTGGGTAAATTGCTTAGAGAGGGCTATAAAGCACTGTGAAGCAGTATATAAGTCTAAGTGCTATTGCTATATAAATAATCCTCTACTTATGACCACAATTGGGTTCATAATTTCCTGTGGGAGGTGACCAGGCTGAATCCAAGGCAAGGGCCAAACGTGTCATAAGTCACAAGTCCCTTCACACTCGCAAGAGATCCAAGTCCAACCCGCCTGGATGACTGTCTTATATTCCCTGCATTTTTCTTAATGGTCAGTTGGCCAGATTCTTGTAGAGAGCTTAAGCTTGCAATAAATCTTTATATACTCATTTGAATTGCCCTAATCTCCTGATTTCCTAGGTATTTGACATTTCCGTTGCTAAGCAAAGTGGTTGTTAAGTGAGTCACATCCAATT